GAGTACTGGTGCTTTTATTTTATCGCCGCAACCGCGAGTTACCTTGAACACGAATGACTTAAAATAGAGAGACATCTTGAATTATTATAGTTATTACGAGACAGAAAAATTTATTATAACACGAAAAAGCCGGTATTTTTAACGAACGCGGAGACCGTTTCAGGAACCGTCACATGTAAATTTCCGATTACATCTTGTGACCTCTCACGCCCCCCCTGTGAGCATCTCGCGCCCCCCAGTTTAAGAACCACTGCTATAGACAGTGTCTTGAACGTCCTGCAACATGACGAAAGGAATTGGAAATTCATTGATCGTTACCGTAAAACTGATATTGTCACTATACTATCAAGTTAGAAATTCGATATCATATCTTTGTTCGGTCGGTCCGACGTTCTCAAATATATGTCATCTCAAACACAAAACACGTTAAACTAACTTTTGATTATTGAGGGATCGCAAATGAATGTAGTTGGCTACGAAGTAGATTTGGGTTGTTTTGCAAGATTGTTATTGTTCAGGTTGTCAATTATCTTATTTGTATACTTAACTACTCTCATAGATTTAAAATTACCAGTATTTAAAGAAGGCTATTCTTTTATATGTGGATCGTTGGATACCCAAGTACGTAGGCCTAAACATAAATTTTCCAAATTTCGATTTAACATCATTCATAAGCTAATCCGAGTATTGTATGAATAAATACAAAGAAAATTGACACCCATTACTGACATTTTCCTGTAGAATACAATGAAAAACTAATTTGAAATTATTAAAATACCGTTAATCGCGAATATATATTATATACGGCGTTTCTTTTGTATATTATTTTTATTCAGATTAAAAAGATGTCGTTTTTATTTTGTTTTTGTTAATTATTTTTAGCATTCCATAACTTAGTTGAACGTTACCCTCTACTGTAATTTTTGTTTCTGTTCGGTACATATTGACAACAGATCCATCATTGGGAAGTTCATTTTGCAGTTGCAATCCAGTAGCCTATTTTACATCTATATATCGTACCTATGATGTGCAGGTGCATAACGTCTAGTTACCCCTTAAATCAACATCATTTTATCATGTCTTTAAATTCTGTGGTCCCCAACCCCATCCTTAGTGTCAAGCAATCTAATATTGGTTTACATACTTGAAACATTCGTTATCGAAACAATGGCTAACCTGTTAGAAAATTGTGAATGTCGATCATCCAGACATCCAGCAGCAGTATTAATATTTCGTGCTCATTGCACGGAAGTTACAGACAGGAAAGTTACAGCAAAAACATTTAAAAATTCGATTTTTATACGAAGGTGCATTTATTAAATTTGGCAATCAGAAATATGAATTTTATGCGTATTATGGATGGGTATATCTGCAGGGTATATTATAAATTTGTCACCAATTTAGACGAGTAACAGGTGACCAATTTGAAAAATGTTTGTTTGTAGATGTAGGGAAATCTCTCTGTAAATCCGTACTCGGCAGCTTCACAGAGAAGATAGTACCTAGATCTCTTACTATGTACTGCTGCAGTATTTCTCGAAAAAAAATTTTACCTGTAAGAAAAGTCGCAAAAAAACATCAATAACTGATTAATGGTCAGAACATTAATAAGCCAGTGAGTCAGACAATTCATGTGGTACACGGGAAAGAATAGTTTTAGAGAAATATGTATCCAGTCAAGGAGCAGATGAAGAAGATAGGACACAGGACACAACAGTTAAGAGTAGGAAATATATTACAATGTAATTACATAAAATGACAATAAATATTGCTTCAAAACTGATATTGCCACCACACAGCAATGCGGAATTAAATCTGATTGAATTTTTTTGTTTATTCGGTCTCAAGTTCTCAAAAGATATGTCATGGAATGTATTCATTGATTCAATTATCCTTCTCGTAAATATGTTTTTTTCTGATGCATACTTTCCCTGTGCAAATCGATGATTCGTCTCTGTATGTATAATGACTGGTTCTCCCACGACGTTTCTGAACCTTATGACCGAATTCCAAATATAAGTTATAAATATGAAATAGTTTCTACTGATTGCTTTAATTGTCAAATTGTGTACGTGATATAAAAGTCTTTGTTTGCCCAAGCCCGAACATTTATACAGGGTGTCTTAAAAGTAAGTATAACAGTTTTAAGTTTGCTTTTCAGGTACTCATCATAGGGCGTTTATTTCTTCAGAAAACATAGTATAGATAAGTAGTAAAATTTTGGTATTGTTTGCATTTTCCATCAACCCACAGAATGACAAGGAGGTCAACCCAAGAAATTAGGTGCACAATTGTCTGTCTGGCAAGAAGAAGTGGGGCAACCTAGCGCATTTAAACAGAGAATTTGGAATGAATTCGGCTCTGAAAATTATATAAACGCTCTATGATGAGTAAAGCAAATCAACAATTAAAAGTGTATTGGGCCAACTTACTTTTGGGACAGCCCTGTACACTGTAAAATTACCGTGCTCTCCAACGGAATCTCTATGATGAAAATATTTTCTCAACGATATCCGCTTTAAGAAATTCACTTTCCGCAGCTGCGTCCCTGACAGTGTCGTTTGAACTTGTTTCAAGTCTTTGCATCCCAATAAGTTTGGCGCTTCTATCTACACGAAGGAGGAACGTTAATGTTACACACGCAGTCTCGATAAGTTTTGTGGAATATAAAATATATTCCCCTTTCTAACTATTAAAATATTTTTCAAAATTAGAATATTGACAGACAAGGAAGTTACAATCATATTTGTGCAATCAAAGTTCATTCAAATATATATATATATATACATTTATGTTAACATTTCCGTCCTCAACGGCCATACCAACCTGACTGAAGAGTATTCGGCCCTAACAAGCATTGTGACTTTATACAAATGTTTGAGTATTCATAAACACAAAACACTTTATCCTGAACTTGTCTTGTCGATTCGAAGTCCAATTTCTCTCAGGATATTTATGAGCATATATCTAGACCAGAAATTGAGATTCTGTAACGCACCCCAGACTATAGTTGTCCATATAAGACCTTGAAGTACCGTTAGCAAAATATTATTACCCAAAGTATATTTTAGTTAATGATTTTCCAGGCAAACAGATGTCGAATATTCAGTATTCAGGAAAGATGAAATAGGAACCAAAGATTGAAAGTAGGATAAATGCATCACAAGTTTTTGGACACGAAATGAACATAGGAATTGTTTTGTAATTATGTTGTTGTTATATTAAAATGATAGTAAATTTTAATAATGTTAGTTAGACTGCGGGTTCTAATTTTTCAGAAATCAAGTGGTGCAAATGTTTTGCAGCTCCTAGCGAGACAGTCACCACATCTCCTATTATCACTTTTTATTTATACCTTTTTATTAAGTTGAGGTCTTGAAGCGCTTCTCTGAATATATAATATATTATAATAATAATATTATAACTCAAATGGTTTCACGGAAAGATATAGAAAGGCTTGCCCTAAAACCAGCGATGGGTCTCTAAGAACTCAAGAATTAAATTTTTCACATGATCATTATTTTGTGGATGGTCTCAAGTTTTCAAAGATTTGAAACCCAATTCCTTCGTCTTGCCATAAAAAAATTATAGAAATGACTTTTGGGTCTATTTTCATTATATATGATTATTTTCTAGGGTTCAAACTGGAATTCCGTAGCTAAAAGGTTGTCGATTTTGTTTCATTTTTTGTTTGCTGTTAACTATTTTTTTGAATTTATTTTCCATTCAAAAGTAACATTTTGATAACGTATCTGTCATTGGGCAGTGTGTCTTATTTATAACTTTTTTTCCTGATCTCGTATGTAAAAAGTGTATTTTCGATGTGGTGATAAAATAAACTACTGATTACTTTATTTTTTGTTTTAGATTCCAATCTAATTTTAGTAATTTAGAATGCTGAAGCATGAAAATGTTCTCCACATGGAAATGTTTACTTTTTGGATTGCTAGTCGTCCATGTCGCTTTTTTCCTTAAAGTAAGTTGTAAATATTTTATTGCTCTTGAACATGCTTGTTTTCAATCTTTTTTTTTTGCGTTCATTATGAAAACTAGAGTATGTGCACTATAAGTGTGTTGTGATTAAAATTGTGTGATATTTTCCAGTCTAGCTGTGACGACTTCTTTTGCAAAAAATAGTACTGAATCTTTAAAATGAAATCATTCATTCAAAAATATATTTGACCTATTTTATCAATTACCTCCAGTTTAAGGAAAAATTTATATTTAGTTATAGTTGACAAAGTGACAATTTGACGAAAGACAAAAAAAATAATATGTTTATTTTTTTGTGTTTTCTTGTGTAGATAAAACATTACCTACACCGGAAATCCGAACATAAACAAGCTCTCAGTGAAATTGAACTTCGACAAAATTATAGGAAATCCAATCTGCACAATGGGTGTCTTCGATTAGGCTTAAACAAGCCTATGGTGACGCAAACTGATGATATACGCCAAATGCTGCAGCAAGTCAAGTTATTATATTCCGATAAATACAAGGTAAACTCATATGTTTGGACAATATACTCTATGCTTCTGTGCTCTATGCTTTATAATGCACTTCTCGATTTCGTAGTTGTTTTGGCCTAAGTGGGTAATCTAAATATATATTGCAAAACTTAATAATTTTATTGTATTATGAAATCACTCATCAAAGTTTTTGAATAACCCTATTTTTATAGTATCAAAAAAGCGTAATCACAAAGGTGGATTGAATACTTATGTCACTATATATGTAAAAATCCACCGCAATAATTGTTTTAGTATACTAAGGTCAGCAAAGTAGATTGCTGAGGAAATTGTTAAATGCTGAAAATGTTGCTAATGTACGGAGTATTGAAAGTATGGTTTTCTTCCACATTTTTTTTATAAATACCTATATATAACTTAATTTTTTTATTTCAGTTTTTGGTGTGTGAGATTCCTAAATGTGGATGTTCAAGCATAAAGAAATTACTTCTAATCACGGAAGGTATAGTTAATGAGACAAATCCACAGACAGTGAAATCATGGCTTGCTCATGAACTTGGCGACAAACATCTGGACTTGAAAAACATCAAAAATGTCACTGAGATTCAGAAGCGACTCGATACGTATCAGAAACTCATCATTGTAAGAGATCCACTGTACAGATTATTATCAGCATATATAAATAAATTAGAGCATGAGTATCCTTGGAATCGGGGATTTGCTAAAATATCGAAATATATTCACCAACAATTTGTAAAAAACGAAACAGGAAAGTTGGCTTCCTTTGGAGAGTTTGTTTTCCTACCTAACAGAAGAAAACGAGTATGATAGACACTGGGAAACTTTATCACAAATTGTGTTTACCTTGCTCAATATCATACGATTACATTGCTCACATTGAAACCATTGATGACGACATGGTTGATTTCATGGATAAACTTGCAATTACAAATATAACGTTCCCCCGAAATAACGAAAAGTCAAAACAGACCAACACAGACAACATTTGAACGATACATTGGTGAAGTACCTAGAAAACCTAGTAAAAGGTATAACGCCAAAAAGTATAAGACTGACTTCGATCTCTTTGGCTTCAAATAGGAAGGATATAAAATTTCAGATGTAAACAATGAATAATTTGTGCCAAATGTATACGTTCAAATTCAATTAAAACCTAGCTACTAATTTCTCATTATTTGCCAATATCTCAATTATATACTTTACTGATTGGGCATGTTACAGATAATAGACGTGGTTACTGGCGGTGTCTTCTAAAACTTAATGCGAAAACTATAAATAAAAATAAAACAGTTTTTTACAACACCCAGGCTAGCGTTTATACAATAAGCAACACAATGTAACAATCGGGGGTCATTATGACGTTATATTGATAAATGCGCACCTCACATTTATGCTCAATGTTGTACGGTACCAATACCGTAAACTTGATGCACTGTCTAGTTCCCCAGAAATGTTTTATTAGAAGACACAATTTTGATATTGTTACAACTAGACAGTGGTGGATTCAGCCCGGTTCGCACCCGGTTCTATAGAACGTCTCACGGAATTTTATGAGATCAGCGAACCGGGTTAGCATTACTGGTTACTTTCAATGTTCTGTTTGCAACAGAACCGGCTGAAAAATATGACTTTTGTGAAGGAACCGCGCTGACAAAAAAATTGAATCCCCACCACTGCCACTAGAGAATGCCAGTTCCCACTGAAAATATAATGTATTTCTATTGTATGTATTGCTACTGATCTCCATTATTTGTTTCTTTATTTAGTTTTTGCTTATCCCAAATGTGTTGTAGACCCGATGACGGAGCAATCCGTTCTTCACAACTCCTGTCATTTTCATTTTACTCAAGAACTTTTATGTTGAAACTTATTGATTCAAGTGAAAATTAAAATAACTCTGACTCTGATATGCAGGTGCGGATAATACAGGGGGAAGCACAGAATTTATTTTAGCCGACCATTCGTTATTTTCATTGGTATTTTCAACGAAATTTATACCATAATAGCAACGTGCTATATGACGTTATTCTTTTTCAACTCATGACTGGCTGAAGATGGAAATGTAACAGATTCAAATGTGAACGCTAAATACTGTACTTTTATTATCCCTGTAACGCGAGCGTTCTCACACCTAATTCACCGCAGTATCAGTTACCAGCAGGTTGCCATATACCGTGCTTATTTCTAAGAAATGACCAGATGTTTTGCGTACAAAGCTTGCGTGGAAACGAGGGACGAACTTTTTCTGTCAACGTGAGTTTGGGGTATTTCCAGGCAAACTGTGACACACACAATAGTTGCTGCTAGTTTTTAGGAATACTGTTTTTAGGGACAAACTGCAATTTAGAGTAAGCGGTAGAGTAACCATGAGTTCTGTTCGAACATGAAAAGAAATTTTCTACAACTACTGCTATTGCGACATCGAGAAAGGTGGAAAACAGTAATCGGTGCCCACAATACTACCATAAAAACACAAGAAGCATTGCGGGAAACCAAAGTAATGAGGACTTTAGATTAGAGTCGGCCACCTGCGGTCATATCCGCACACGGAGTAAAATAATCCGGCCCACAGTGCTTCACTTAAACCTACGGATCGTTATTATGTTATTCTTGTTCTTTATCAATAATTCGTTTTTCCAATCTTTATGAAAAGATCGCTTTTTGTTTCAATTACTTAACCAAAATGAAATTTTCCTTGCGAAGAACTAGGATGGACCTTTCCCGACCTTTGATCCCCCGGCAAAATTCCTACCTATACTTTCACCATTTGGCACAAGTTTTTCCGGGGGCTAGTTTTTAAGAATGCTTTTGCGAGGTGGCGCCTATTAAAAATGGGGGTAATGTGTGTCAAACCCAATCCATCTATGATATCATCGCATACAACAATCTGTTTTTTAAAAGTAACCGGGTAAAGAATTTCAGGCTAATGATATCAACAGCTATTTCTAGCATAATTTTTATTACTGGGCAATTCAATTGAAACTCTAAGAATGACGGAGTGATCATTGAATTATCTGATTTATATTTAATTCCCCGGAAGCATTGCGACTTCCTTGGGGGTTTTACTTTCGTGACATTGGGGCCATATCAGGCAAAGATGCAAAAAAGGTAGGACGTAACCAATGCCTCCCGTTTTCGCAATACCGCTCAGACCACATTTTCTCACTCAGCACAATTTTTCAAGCGTGGTTGTAAACATTACCTCGTGTTCGCATTTGTTGAACTCTATTTGTTAGTTTTTCAGTTGAGTTTCGGAAACTAAAATAAAAATCAGATAATTCAATGATCACTCTGTCTTCCTAGAGTTTTAATTTATTTGCAGTAATAAAATTATGTAAGAGAATAGCTGTGATAGACTAGGGCTAAAGTTCCTTACCGTACTTTTAAAAAACAGATTGTTGTATCGATTGAATCATAATGATGGTTTGAAACACATACCCCATTTTACAGGCGCCAATCGCAAAAGCACTCTTAAAATAGCCCTGAAAACTTGGCAATGGTAAAGTAATAGGAAGAATTTCTCCGGGTTCAAAGGTCGGGGAAAGGTCCATTAAAGTCCGATGAATTTGAATTTCTAATCTGTAATAAATAATGTGCTTCATCTGCCACCCGTTCAGTTTTAACTTCCTTGAAAAAATATGTGCGGCCCGCCAAGATTCGTAACACTGGTTTTAGCCCGGGAGCGTCAAAAAGTTGCCGACCCTTGTCTTAGAGATTGGCATGTGGCAGTGAACTCCGTGTCTTTCCATAGCTTTTTGCAATTTTGGAGCTGCGTACAACTATGTTCGAAGCGACTTCTAATGATAAAAAGTGGGAGACTCGTGTATGATCTCATTCTATTCTGCGTTTCTGCCGTTGTTAAGACCCCTCCCCTTGAAAAATATCATTTTGACGCCCGTGCTTATTTTTGGTTCTGGGTTGATGGCAACCCTAGTTACCAGTCATCAAAAGTCACTTTCAACAACCTCACGATTCGTCGTTAGAAATTCCATCCACTTCTTCAATTTAGGGATTTTTCGCCTTAACCACCGCACTTTCCGTTGAATAAAATTTGATCCACTCCTTACCCCCCCCCCCCCCCCGATTCCTCATGTACGGCGGCTTCCAGTCCGGTTACCAGTCCATAGAATTAATCAGCCATGTATTTTTTAGATGCATGGACTTGATAGTGGGGGAAGCTGTAACCGACCATCGGCTATGCCAGGGGTCGGCAACCTTTTGTCGCTCGCTGGCCAAAATTAGGGGTTACAAGTCTTGACGGGCTGCACATATTTTTCAAAAGTTGAAAACGGAACAGCGCGCAGAATACTGCGACTTTTCGTGAACTCAACTCAGTCGTCATATTGAAAGAAAAAAATTACAAATGACTTTTCTTGTTGCTGCATCACGCTCGATAGCTTTTCGACATTGACGGCACACATGAATGATACACGATTGGAACACTTTCTAAATGGGATTACATAGGGTTACCAATATTTTTGTGACTCCAATCGGGACACCTCAAAAGACAACGACCCCTTAGCTGTAATTTTGTAACTTCACATTTTCCGATTTTACTACATCCTACATTTAAAGCTGTCTTTATTGACGCATATTGTTATCGAATTTCATGCGCATATCTCTGTCCAAATATCGGGTTCAGTCGAAAAATAGGAAGTAATTGACGTTACGATACCGGTACAAATAATTCGATTTAGACTAATTAATATTAGGTTTTACATGCGATACGTCTGCCATCAATGGGAATCAGCGGGAAACGAACGCATTCACCTTCAGTAAGTAGGCTAGCGCTGCGCTACACAGAAACAAAAGTAACGAGAACATGTTTGTGTATTATGCTGAAAAAGCGGGACTTTTGGCTGGACTTATCGGGACGGCGGGACAAAACCGCTAAAAAGCGGGACTGTCCCGCCTAAAGCGGGGCGTATGGTAAGCCTAGGCTTAGGTCATTGCCTTTCAAAGTTTTTGCACTTGGCATCTTGACAAAACTTGCGGTGTTTTCACCGGTGTTTTCGTGGCCCTTAGGTTCCGCCAGTACAGTTCGAGTCTTTGTTTCCATTCAAATCACGAGATTTTCATTTCTCTGATTTAGTTAAGCATAACCGGCCAGGTGAGAACGTTTTTATTTTATTTCAAGTTCAAATAATGGGTGTGGTAGCAAGCAAATATGCACAGTCTGGCGACGTACACGGTTGAAGTATCGCCAAATGTTTAGGTTGTTCTAGTACTACATATTGTATTGTGGTACTGATGTTGTGTACCTGTATGAAATATTGGAGAGGACATTAGTAAAATTAGAAAATCATTCTATAACCAGTGGTTCTTAAACTTTTTGAGCCGCGCCCCCTTTGAAAAATTTTACACACTTCGCGCCCCCCCCCCCCCCCTCTTTTGCTTTGAAAAAATGCTTTCGTGATGGACAAGTTGTTATATATTAGGATGGCGCTATAACTGAGTGTTGGTCTCATAGCGTCATTGCTCAGATTGTTTAGGCATAAAACGCTTCGGAGTACATCTTCGCCATTCACTGTCGTATGTATAAAGCCAAATAGTGGTTGGTCATCATACATTCTCGTTTTTCCGCTCAGTTTTCAATACTTGGCAAAGTCAATCTAATTATTAAGTAAAACTAAACAAGCAATAAACCTATGCTTTAATGTATTTTCTGCTTAAACGTTTACATAAGACACGTAAAATTGCAATTAATTGTTGTCGCTAAGGCGTTTGCGATTGCATTTGTATAAATCTCCATTGTTTTACGTCAAGCGTGGCGTGTTATTTAAGCCCAAAAAATCTTGATT